CAAAGGATTTAAGACTGGTGATCCAGGAGGCTTTGACTTTGACTTTGTTTACGGTTGTGCGAATTGTAAATCACGTGAAGCGAGGCATATTTGTGTGCAGGAAGATATCTCCAACGCAATTTACCGTTTCGTCAAACATTTGCGAACATTCACCTGTATTTCGGAAACTAAGCCGTTTAGGACACATGTTTGTATGGACTTTTTTACTCGAAATAAACCAAAGAATCGCTCTGTATGGCAACATACTTAACACCCTGTATAGATGATCAATATTATAAATATTCATACTGCATAATATTATTGACCGTCTGGAAACTATTTGAGCTTTCAGACTGCTTGTTTTGAATTGTTTAAAGGGAAACGTCAATAATATCGTACAAAATAATTATAGACTATCGTCTACACTGAAAAAAATTTACTAAATTTTAATACATATTTCGAAGTAAACATTTACTTAATAAAAGAAAGAAGAGTTAAATCAAATTTTTCTTTTCAATAAATGTATGCTTACATTTAATAAATATCAGAACTCTGTTCAAACAAATATTTATTAAAATTTAATTTATTTCTACTATATAGAAACCGCTTCACTTATTAACATCTACGTTGTAATTTCGTGCTTAACAAAAAATTTATGTAATATAATTTATATAACACATGTTACGTAATAGTTTGATCGTTGAGAGTGCAGATGATGTAGATGCGGATTCGATTTTTTTCTCTCTGACATTTTGTTTAGTTCAAGTTTTCGTGTTTTCGATTCGCGCCGTTGATTTCTGCGATAGCCTCGATCTCCGGAATCTTTTCGCTTTGAAGAGAAAAAACGGAATCCTGGAACTTTTTTTTTCTTCCGAACAGGAGAACCGATTCTCGCAGTCTCAGATGATATCAGGTTAAGGAAAACGAACAGATCCACCGACGCAGATATCTGCATAAGGTGTCGCGTGTCGACGCTTTTAATCCCATTGTCGCTACTCCGTGCCCCGGATACGCTCGATAGCGTCCCACATCTCGCGCCGCCACCGCCTAGTGCCGATGTGGAGCAAAGGTGAGACCCTCTTTCAGAGTGCACGGCTCGTCGGAGTAACGAGAGAGAAACGTCACGTCCATCCTGGACCGTGTTCGCCTTGCAATCTCGCGGTTGTACCGTTAAACTACGCACCGATAGTCTCTTAATCCTCTAACCATGCCCGGCTTCTCCGATCCTTCATCTCTATTTTACTCTTATATAGTTGTTAGGCACATCTCCTCTTTTCCATTTGATCTTTCAATCTTGCGCCGTTTGTTATAACTCATCGTCTGTCGTAACTAGCTTTCTCTTAATTTTCTCAAATATCTAATTTGAAATTAAGAGAAAGTGTGTCCTTAAGGTTCTGGACACGACGAAAAAGGCGGACAGTAGGAAAATGTTTATTAGAGAGGGAGAGAAAGAGAAGTTCTAGGATAAAACACAAAGAAAAATAATGAAAAGTAAGACAACGGAAACAGAGATGTGATCGTAATTGTAAGGGAGCGACGGATTCGTAATCGACAAATCGCGAGTTCGAATCCTGCATTCTCTGTATATAGGTACGGGAAATTTGATAATCCGTTTCTGACTTCAGCGGAAGTCGCAGAGAGAAATTCTTTAGATCTAGGTGTCTTTGACTAAGATGTATAAGGACTGATTTTAGTTCTGTTCGTTATTATTATTATTACTGAAAAACGGAGATATAAGAGTTCAACGTATTGAAAATCAGGTATACACGATGTAGATGTAGCTCCCGGTTTTTAATATCTTGAAGTCTGTTACTCTTTGTTTTTTGTTGCCTGTAGTTTTCATTTTAGGTTCATTAGAGGGCTTCTCCAAAACGTCTAATAAACGTTTTATCTATCTACGTTCTTAGATAATAAAGGAGCGATTGTAACCTAATTCTTTCAGTTAAATAACATTTTATTTTATTTTTAATTTGTATCAAAATGTAAATCAATTCATTTCTGAGGTCGATTTTAATGTAAATATTCATATTAATGTATGCATTTAGTAAATAATAAATTAAATCCGAGTCAAATTTAATTCATTTTTTAAGTTAAATTGTTTTACTTTATATTAATGTTTTAATTACATTAATGACATATTTAGTGGCGACTTATAGAAGTGATTCAAAATAACTTAAATTGAGTGTAGTTTCTAGTTTGATTTTATTATATTTAACAGCGTAATATCAAAAATGTCAATTAAAAAAAAAAATGTTTTCAAATTTGTGATCTTCATGTAAGTTACGCACATTTTTACTGACTACAATTTTGAATACATTTTTCTGTTTGCAGGTGCGGAGGATATATTGCCATGGAGCTGCGGTGAGTTTTTATGGCATACTATTTTTAATGCATCTATCCTTTCATTTCCTAAAAAATGTTCACGATTTTACGACACGCCCGAATTTGACCGATATTCTCGATTTTTGCGATCTTTTAATCAAAAGTTTCAGTCTATCTGAAATTTTTTGGATATTGTAATTGTTCGCGGGTTCTTTTTTTTAATTTGCGGAAGCGAAGGAAACGTAGGTTGGAGATTGCAAAGGAACCGACGATCGAGAATCAAAAGAGAATTCAGCGAGGCAATCATGAAGACGATCATTAGCGATCGTCTCGATCGTCCGAAAAGGCGTCCGAGGATCCGCAATTCGGTTTACCCTTGTTCCGCGATTGCACGTAACGGGGAATAGTTACCGTTAGCGCGAGAGTCCGACTTGTTCCGATTCATTACCGATCTTTCTGCCGATCGATAACCGACTAGCATCCACCCACACGTAGCCGAGTCGCGCGTCTGTGATTGTGGGCGCGGTGCATATTTCTCGACTCGGGTAATCGAGGATGTATCTAGTAGATCTAAATTTATGTATTTGTCCCGTGCCCAACAATTTCGGGCGATTGAACAAACAAACGGCGTTCGATCTTTTCTTCTTAATTC